CTTGAACTACTACGGAGTTTGTCGTTGCCCCGTCATCCGCGTTCCGCCCTCGTCCCTAGCCCCTAACCCCTTCCAATTCCGGCCTCAATCCTTATCCCTTATCCGTGATTTCCGGCCATGTCGATATTAAGCCAGTCTTTCCCTCCAAAGGCAAAGTGGAGCGCAAAGGACATACCAGATCTATCAGAAAAAGTGATGATAGTCACCGGTGGAAATAGTGGGATCGGGAGGGAGACGGTCAAGGTGCGCGCGGTGAGACAAGTCTGCATTGCCACAACTCAGGGATGTGGCACATGGGCAGGCACTGCTAAGCCACAACGCCAAGGTCTACATGGCGTCGAGGAGTAAAGTGAGGGCTATGCAGGCCATTTCGGAGCTCAAGGTAGAGACGGGCAAGGAGGCCGTCTTCTTGGAGCTCGACTTGGCCGATTTGCGCGCGATCAAGACAGCCGCGGCCGAGTTCCTGAGGTGCATGTCTCGTTTATTGGTCCGCAGACCTTCGGGTCATTGACGATGATGATTTCACAAAGCAAAGAATCGCGTTTGCACGTATTGTTCAACAGCGGGTATGTTGGAATTGTTTTTGATCTTAATTGCGAGCGCTCAACTTCATGTCGTCCGTGTTAGTGGTGTTATGATTCCCCCACTTGAAGATCTCACCGCTGATGGGTACGACCTGCAATTTGGTGTGAACGTCCTGGGTATGCATAGCTGCTTCCATTTGACTCGAACAACCCAATGACGCCGTCTTCAACAGGTCATTTTTACTTCACACAGCTACTCCTCCCAGCGCTCCTCGCAGTCCCTCAGTCATGCGAAGAGAAAGCACGCGTGGTCACTACCTCGTCTCTAGGCCACATCTTTACTCCTCTGAACTTTGAGGCGTTCTGTGATGGCCCTACACGAGTCAAGATGGGCAGACAAGAACTGTATCAGATGAGCAAATACGTGGGTGATTACGCACCTAATTCGCGAACGTTTGAGTTCAACCTGAGCATGGAATGGTAGGGGGATACTGTATTCGCAGCCGAGCTGGCGAGAAGATACAGGGACCAGGGAATTGTTTCAATCGCGGTCAATCCAGGTGTGTTCAGAAAATATGCTAGCATTAGACCGAGACCCTTTGAAGCCCTTTGATCCGACAGGAAACATCAACTCGGATCTTAACCGGAATGCGAGTGCCGTCCAGAAGGTGCTCTCGGTATGTTTACTGTCCAAGGCGTTCTTGGCGTTTCCTTATGACTCTGCCTATCCGCAGAAATTGTTGTTTTATCCAACAGATAAAGGAGCATTGACACAGTTGTATGCCGGTGTTGCGCCAGATGCGAGCAAGATGAGCGGAAAGGTCAGTCTTGCCACTTACGTGTTGTCAGGTAGCTGCTCGACTTGGAGATGAATCACTGATATTTGGCTGTGTGTGCTTAGTACCTCATACCATGGGCACGGCTTGGTGAAGCACGACTAGATGCACTTGAGCCGAAGACTGGTGAGCGATTGTGGAAATGGATGGAGGAGCAGGTTTCAAGTATCTGAGCGTTCAAGTCTGTATGAATATATCTGCAGTAGCAATTCGTTGCCATTCAACAAACAGTTCTAGGGATTATAATGCTTGACCACAATTGTGATGCTGTCAAGTTTTTCGTTGCCAGTCAGCTTGATTCCTGTGTCGCTGGAGTGTCATGACACCGGATCTAATGTGGGGCAGGAGTCGGTGCTACCTGCACTTGTATCAGCCCAATGCAGAGCGCGTGTTCAACGCACTCACTATTGCGACTGTCCATCGTCGTAGAAGATGGATATCTCAGTATCTGGATATATGACCTAGGTATCCTACAGACAAGATAACATAGCATGTCTGGCTAGATGGAGGCACGTCGTGGTGCGAATATACTGCGGGATGTTTAGAGGGATGGGCCTGAGCTCGCCGCATTGAAAATATATGGTCATAGAGTGTGTGCCAGTCATCGTCGTGGAGGATATCTGAAAATCGGCAGAGACGACGTCTGACTCAAATCGCGTCGTGGCTTACGTCATTCCCTCTGCCATAGTGCCGACCGGGGGCATTGCGTATCTTTAAGAATTGCCTGAACCCGTCCGTCGCCACTCATCTAATTATCCTCTCTGCCACCTTTCTCTGTACAGACATGATCCCATTATTTGGAGATGAACATATCAGACGACGCAAGGAGATCAACTTGGGTGGAAACCGCTCACATTCGAGTCACGAAGACATCCTCCTCCAGGCAAAGGCCCAGCGGTCGCAGCGCCACGATCAGAAACGTCGGCAAGACAGTGCTGCAAGAATTCAGGCTTGGTGGAGGGGTGTCCTGCAGTTGCGATCCGTCAGGCAGGATCTCCGGCGCATTTTTGCGCAGGACGTAACCAGTCTTGTCGGGTTAAGATGTCTTGTGCTCATTGGCACGGATGAGAAGCTTCTTGGGGCATGGTCGAATGCGATAATGAATGAGGCACAAGGTACTTACTCAACTACTGCGTATCGTCTCAGTTGATCCTCTCGCATCTCTCCAGACGTCTTGTTTAATTCTGAACCAAGCTGGCGTGTACTCCTTCGGCGCACTGCATATCTACTTCTCCGATCAATAGCAACATGGCCACAGTGAGTGAAATTCTAAGTCAAATCAAGCTAATTTCATGATCGCGTTATTTAGATCCGAGTATGCTCTAGCGCACTTGAACATCCTCTGTCTTCTACTGTCCCGTAGTCCTTTTGCCGACGAGTATCTCCAGTATCTACTCAATCACAATTTTTACCGTTCAATAGGTAAAGCAGTATCGGCAATTGTAAGTCAATATACGCTCATAGTCGGCGCATTCTCATCCGTCGTCTCCCAGCCGGTTGAGGCCAAGACATCGCCTTCCCTCCCGCCTTTAGTAGAATTGATAACAGCCCCATTTACGAAATCTGATATTATAGGCCGATGCCTTGAGGACGCGCTCGTATACGTCCTCACCATTCCGCTTCTCCCTAACCGTTTGCCTCTACATTTGCTGACTTCTCTGTCTGCGCGCCTTCCCCTGACCTCTCTACACCTCATGCCTACATCGATATCTGATATCGTCGATTGTTCCTATCTGGCACCTCCTGAGTCAAAGATTCACTTGTTGGCTAATTTAGCAGTCCTCACTCCTCCAAGATATGCAAAGCTGACGCCAGCTGCGTTCGAGGTCTATCTACAGCTCACCGCTGCCCTCATGAACAACCTCCCTACTCATGCCCTAGAACCACCAGAGAATAAGCGTGAAATTTCGCGGAACTGGGCCGATGAAGACGATTCAGATGACGATACACCCAAGGTGGCTATTGTGACCTCATTTGAGCCCGCGAAGCTGTCCACACCGTTGCCTGAGCTCGATAAGCGGACACGCACGAGATTGCAAACGCTACCGTCCCCCCAGCACCTTAATATTCTCTTAACTGCGGCTCAACATCATACTTCAAGGCTGAGTCTCATCTCGTTCTGTTTTGCACTTACCACTGTTTGGCCAACGAGACGCGATAAGGTGCTAGGGACCGCAGTGGCATTCAATGGAGGAGGTCTAGTGCGAGAAATATATCGCCTCTACGTGAGGAGTTCGCCGTTGGGTCGTGACGATGAATCCAACGGGCTAACAAGTGCGTGCATCTGCTTGGGCTACATATGTCGTTTAGCTGACGTATTATCTTACCGCAGGTTCTGATCGTGCAGATGCGTGGCCGCCGTTGCTTTTCCTTGTTGACCTTTACACGCAGGCGCTGCTTACGATGGGTGACGATGAGTTCTTCTCGAGTGGGATGAGCAACAGTGCACCGCGAAATCCACTAACGGTTGATGAGCTCACGACTTTCTCGCGCAAACTCCTGAACATCGCATTTGCCCTTTACTGGCGTGAGGATCCGAATAACATTCAGCGTGGCGGCGTTCCCGGACTTGGCTACTTGAAATGGGAGGACGTGAGAGAGAAGCTCACGAAATGCTTGCAAGCCATTCATGTAAGAGAGTAAGTTTATCACAGTGACCTCGTTGCCTGCTCTTGTTGATAACCCTTTCCCATCAGCTCGAGAAGACCATTCACTCCTACGGGGCATTGGTTGGTAACCTCACAGGTGGATATGGCTACTTTCGTTCAAGCTGCTGTGTATGTCCATCCTCCTTTTGCGTGGACTGTCTATGCCCTAATCCAAATTTTCTTAGCCTCGAGGAGCGAAATCTCGCCGTTCCCGAAGGCGCCCGCATGCTAAGCAAGCGACAGATAGCATACATGTCGCCGCGTCTCGGCATTCTCAATAATATTCCATTCGCCATTCCATTCGAAGTTCGCGTGTCGATTTTCAGGCATTTCGTTGTCAACGACATGGGCAGTCGCGGTGTAGATATGCACGAATTTCGTGCTCGCAATCGCGTTACAGTTCGACGCTCATCTCTCGCCCAAGATGGATTCGATAAGCTTCAGGACGTGGATTTACATGTCCCTATCGCTATCACGTTCATCGACCAATTTGGGAATGAAGAGTACGTCTCCGTTCCTTGTGCTGAGCAGTGCATGACGGTTGTTCTACTGGCAATAGGGCAGGAATTGACGGCGGAGGTGTTTTCAAGGAGTTCTTAACATCTCTATGCAAGGAAGTATTCGACACAGACCGAGGCTTGTGGCTTGCGAACAAGAAAAATGAGCTATACCCCGCACCTCACTCATTGGCCACAGAACGTGAGTTTTGTGGTGCCTTACACATTCCGAGAAATTAATACCACGAGTGCCATGGTGTAGGTCATAGCCTCAACTGGTATCGGTTCATCGGCCGGATACTGGGAAAGGCGTTATACGAGGGCATTCTGATTGATGTTGCGTTTGCAGGTTTCTTCCTCGCAAAGGTTAGGCATCAGTCGAATTGTGCTTTGATACCGTGCATTGACACCTATGTTCAAGTGGCTTGGCAAGCAAAGTTTTTTGGACGATCTGGCGTCTTTGGATCCCGATTTGTACAATGGTCTCCTTTTCCTGAAGCACTATACTGGAGATCCAGAAGATCTGTCCCTGAACTTCACTGCTGCGGAAGAAGGTGCGATAGATCGTCGACTTCGGTAAGAAATTGTCAACTGATTGCGCCTTGTAGAGTTCGGTGTAGCACGAACAGTGGAGTTGATTCCCAATGGAAGCAATATTGCGGTGTCGAAAGAGAACCGGTTGCAATACATATACCTTGTCTCGCATTACCGACTGAGTAAACAAATCAAACGCCAAAGCGAAGCTTTCTTTGAGGGTCTCTCAGAAATGATTGATCCGAAGTGGTTGCGGTGAGTTGACGTTTGTATCGCTAGCTCAGCATTAATTAACCAATGGGGTATCATAGTATGTTCAACCAACAGGAACTCCAGATTTTGTTAGGAGGCGTGAACGCCCCTGTCGACCTTGAGAACCTTCGACAACATACGAACTACGGTGGACTTTACGATGACCACGAAACTACCATTGAGCTGTTTTGGAAAGTGAGCCGCGATGACGCCTTGGGGAGTTTCTTGCTTGGCCGCTCAATTCAATTCTAGGTTGTCAATTCGTTCGATCACGAACAGCGACGAGGTTTACTTCGGTTTGCAACAAGTTGCAGTCGACCACCTTTGCTGTACGTATCATTCGGTGATACCCTCAAACAACACATATTGAATGAGTATTTAGCGGGTTCGAAGCGTTGGTCCCGAACTTTGCAATCAGGGATGCGGGCGCCGACGAGAATCGTCTACCCACTGCTAGCACATGTGTCAACTTACTCAAGGTAAGCGAAGTATGCACTATCCATTTCGTTCATTCGAGGTTGAATCCATGACCGTAGCTTCCGCGCTACCAGAATGAAACTGTTCTGCGCGAAAAGTTATTACAAGCCATCAATTCTAATGCAGGGTTTGATCTCTCTTGATTAGGGATGTCTGATTGTCGTTGTGTCACACTGTAGCGAAGCCACCCGAGATTTATGTTGTAATGGTATAGATTATGTTTCCACCTGGTCGTCTGTAGCACCTTTGTATTGATGAAGCATTTCAGTTAGACACTTTGGGCAATATTCCGCAGATTATCATTGTTGAATTAACGTGGATGAGTTGGACGCGGCAGGCTCGCATCAAGGTGACCCGTATGGAGCGGAATTTGGTACGCGACAAATAAGCTGTCAACTATCAGCCGCGAGATATGATCAGGACAGGCACATGGGTGACGAGATCGTATTCAAACCTAGCCCGACAATATGCTTCCCGATATGTCGAAGTCGACTACCGGGATCCCCACCGAGATCTCTATAGTTGATCCGCTGTTGGCAGTTACCCCTTCTCGGTATCTGAAGTTGTGTCGATTCTCAGCACTCGCCTACGACCAGCTCCAGCAACCCAGAAGCTGATTGCGTCCAGCATGGAAAATCATCGAGTACTCCCTTAAAGCATTGGACGGTATAATCCGATGCACGGGACTGCAGATCGGCAATTCTCGTATTTTGAAATGTCTATACAAATAGAAGTTTTCCAAATCGCGCACAATAAATATCCAGCTGAAATGGTCATGCTGTAATGAAGAATGAACCTATAAGCCATGCAGTCGTTCCATCCTCCTGAAGCCCAACTGAATGATACGCGACACCGTCATGAGATACCGTAAGGGTCGACTCCAGCCCCGAGTTGGAAAAGGAAATGATACCATGGTTCATCGATAATATGCGGCTTTAGCACGCAGGGACTTTGTGAAGGGCCCTATACTATACCACCGAGTCACGCCTAAGATTGGTCATAGGTCAATTGGTAGATGATTACAACGGCGTAAGGCGCAGACAATGTACGGGTAGCGCTGATGGCTTCGGTACGGACATAGAGGGGCCGTATGAACTCTAGCTCAGAGATGACGAGGAATTCGCAGTCATCGGTCAGAAGCTCTGTCACAGAATGTCAGATTCTCGCGGAATTGAGGCAGTAGCTTGCGCGTGATCCAGGGCAGCAGTGCGAGACTGACGTTAATGTGATTGATCTCAATGTGAAGGCCAGAGTTTCGTAACCGAGGACGGCACATGGGCGCATTGGGTAGGTTACGATGGGCTGATAAATGCATAGTATGAGTCTGCTCGCGCGCTCGGTTAACGGATCAACTCACCAGGACGGACTCCTGATAGTACGCCATTTGTAGGATGATATCATTCTAAAGTCTGTGAAATAGAAGAGATGTACAAGTAATTCGGTTAAGCGACCCTTTTGTTCCACATGATAGTTCGCTTTAGCAATTGCTGGCGTTTGGACACAAAGAAGGCAGTGGCAGAAACATAGTTCATCACACGAGGCGCAGCAGAAGATGTTCCAGGTCTTGGTTATTGCACGCGCGATTGGATATCGCTCAGGTCCTTGGATGAGACGCAGTACAGCTGAACGCATGGCATCTCGGACCATTGGCATCCAATTGCTTCCATAGCATCTTGTCAGTTGACCTGTGGTTGTTACGGGATATGGGTAAATGAACACAAGAAGAAATGAGGATGAGGAATTAGGTCCCACGAACGCAATAGCGGTATATCATGTGAATGCCTAATATCAACTACGATAGTTCTGTTCGGCCTACCAATTGAACGTATAGGAGGAGTATCTCTTCAGTACCACCAGAAGGGTAGGTCATTGCGTCCGGATTCAGATGTGACTAGTGGGTGACAGCTCCAGGCCCGCGGGGCAGCACTGCGGAGTGTAGTCATGGCGTATAGTGAGAAAAAACTTACAATGGTGAGTCAAATCGTTGATCATGTCTTGCTATACAGACGTACGCCAGGCGAAAGAAAGGATAGTGCCGACTCGCTGACGACTTCAGAAACCACCTGATGACCTGCTGGGCCTCAAGGCAAGTCATGGTCATGACAGGAGGACACGGTCGGTAAGTAGTGGGAACACATGCGCCCAAGCACAAGCCATTAGTTTGGACAACTGTCTGCTGCCACTGGTTGGTAGAATGTATGACTCGGAGTTGAGAACTTAGCCACCCACCAACATGCTCTGGCACGCGGGCCAAGCGAAGATGAACGATTGCAGAATTCTCGGATACTTGCTGTAACATAACTGTGAATCCAATCGGAGGCGTTGAGCTGTCGAATATGGATGTATGAAGCTCGATTCGAATTGCACGCACCATGATAACTGCCTCGAGGCGATGCAAATTGCGCAACGTGAGAGCGATAGAACCACATCAGAAACACTTGCTATAACTGCATTTGCTAATAGCTATCGGGCAAGGGCTTGCTTTCAATCTCCCGCGAGATGCGCCCGAGTGGTCAATTATTAGTTCTGGGCGCCTGGAAAGAGATGAGGCGCACATGAATTGAGCTGAGCGGAAAAGGAAGGTAAGTAAACAAAGTTACGGGAAGCATCGCATTGAAGGCTCTTCGCGCCTCGTTCACAGCCCGGAGATCAGGATCATATCATGCATCATCTCGGCGCTGACACGTGTAGCCAGCCTGGGCGAGGATATCTCAGCGTTCCAGTTTAATCCGCGCGCAATCCACACCAGCATATCAGCGCAGCATTGCACACGAGGCGGCCCGGCGTAACAATTACATACAATCTGCACACTACATGACAATGGCGGAATAAGTACAGACGGGAAACCCTGCGCTCGCGACGGAGTCGCCAGATGTTACTTCACATGATGCGAACTTCAACGAACTAACATGAACGGAACGCAAAACAAGCAGAACTAAATTGCTCCACAGCATCCGAGGCTTTCCCGACATTTTATGCCGAAATCTTACCTAGCGGAGTCTTCGCCATGACGCTCAGAACTTCGTATAGAACCTAGCATCCGCGGTGAATCAGTAGGTCATAGGCCAACGCGCCGTAATTCACTCACATCAGCGGCAGCCATGGTGGTCAGCTCGGCGTTGGTGTCATATGCTGGGGCGACTTCAACGATATCAGCAGATACGATGTGCAGACCGTCCAGTCCTCTGAGGATCGTGCGCAGCTCGCGCGTCGACCATCCACCTGTCTCCGGGGTGCCCGTCGCAGGCGCAAATGCCGGATCGATGGAGTCAATCTGTGAAGCCTCAGTATTTTCATCTCGCAGCTGCTCTCGGAAAAACACACATCGATAGAGAGGTAGACCGGCATATCTCCTACAGTGTCGCGGATCTTTCTGATGATTCCATCGGTACCTGTGCAGAGGGCCGCGTGAGTACCTGGTGCCAATTAAAGGATGGAGTGGAACGTGCCTATGGTATCAATTTCGCGGGCCTCGATGCGCTGGAATCCAGATGCATCGTCGTTGGCGTAGTCCGCCGGGCCGGACAGTGTTGTACGGATGGCGCCGTGCTGCAATCAAGAACCTCAACTAGGATCAAGGTGGAAGAACACGCGCAGGGGAAACGCAAAAAAAAGGAATACGGATACTTGCAATGGATGACCCGTTCTTGATAAGACCTTCCTGGCTCGCCCAGTAGAAGTATGTGCCATGGTTGATAGCCGCTTGGTCGGAAGGCGCACCGCCGAAGACCTGGGGCTTCCAAGTGTCAAGATGACTGTCGAAATGAATGACTGAGATCGCTCCGTATGCGCTGTAGATGGAACGCAAGAGGGGAAGGACGATTGTATGGTCGCCGCCAAGTGTGATGACACGGGGATGCGACTTGCCGTCAATGGAAAGAGGCTCGAGGGGGAGGCCGGTAAGAGAGTCGTTGCCCAAGGGCGAGAACGTCCGTCGGTGCAATAGCTCCTTGTGGCCATTCTCGATCTGTTGGATGGCATACTTGTTGTCGTATGGAGTAACCGGGATGTCGCCACAGTCGACAATTTTCAGACCTGATAAAAAGGGGTTGACCTCAAGGGGGACGTTGTAGCCTCCATACAACGTGAGGCGGCGGGAGCCGGCTCGAATGCCCGCAGGCCCGAAACGAGCCCCCGGGCGATAAGATGTCCCGGTGTCCTTGATTTTTTTTGTCGTGATTATCGGGCATGCGCTCTACTAGAAGATCATACGTACGAAAGGCGCCCCGATAAAAGCCACGTCGAAGGCCACGTCTCTATCCTTGCCGAGGCATTGGACCCAAGGCAGCTTGGCAAAAGTGGTGATGCCGGAGAAGACGGAGTCTGCAGTAACTGTGATAGGATGTATTAGACGAATAGGTGCTAGACGGATACAGTACAAAGGACTTGCCCTCATCATCGCCAGGGTATACGGCTTGGTAAGGGAACCTGACGTAGTCTAGGGGCATCTGCGAGTCATGATCGTGGTCACCGTGTGCGAGGACGATGATGGCGAGAGAAGTGAGGGACAGGAGAGAGGGCGCGAACTTCATGGTGGTGGGTACGAGCAGTGGTGACCGCAAGCTGGGGGCTGAGAAGAAAACTGAGACTTTAAATCATGGCGAAAGGGAACGAGGCTCGGAAGAGCACAGGGAAACGCTGGAGATAACGCATGTCCTACCCCATGACCGGTGACACAGCTGCATGTGCGGCGCTATCGTCATTAGATTGGAAAAACAAACATGCAAAGGGGAGATCTTACGGTATGATCCCGAGACGTATGGTCGGGGGCGTGTACGTCTTATCATCAATTGAGAAATTTCATGTCGAGAAGCTGAAGCTGGTGTTGTGGTCATCAGTCACACAAGATGGGGTTCCAAGAGAAAATCGATGGTGTCAGACGGGCTGCTCGCAACATACCTCCAGGCACTGGGCGGCAGGCCGAAAGAGCAGGGAAGCTGATGAAGCTTGCGGTGCGCACAGACGCGGGTGTGTCATATTCCGGAGGGTATCAAGTGCTAGTGCTGGAGAAACAACATGAGGATGGACACGAGCCCGCTCCGGGTAGAAAAGAACGGAGGCGAGATTCGTGGAGATTCTTCGTACCTTCCCTCGCGCAACATGGGTCCGTCTTCCGCAACAGAGCACCCGGACGAGACGCAGCCGCTGCTCGCAAAGACGGCAGGCGACGCGAGCCCGTCATCGTCGTCAACGACGAGCACGACGGTCTGTGGCCTCTCGCCAACATTGTCCGCCACCGCGCTGCCCGATCCGGCAATTCGGCCCCACGCGTTCGGCGGCCTCATCTCATCCATCCTCGTCGACTCTGTCCCGAGTGCGTCCCTCTCTCGCCGCTGACGATAATAACGATAATAACAAGTGCGTTTGCAGTCATTTTGTCGTATGTCCTCCAAAACTCCATCCAAACTACCGCCGTCCTCGTCGCTGGCCGCCTCGGCCCAGACGAGCTCTCTGCCGCGGCATTCGCGCTAATGCTCGCCATGGTCGGTATGTGTCTCGACCGCCGCTTGGATCCGAGACTATGCCCTGAACGGACTCTTGCAGGTTGGTGCGTTGCGCTCGGCGGGACTACCGCACTCGACACGCTGGGCTCGCAGGCGTTCACTGGGGGCGACCGCCCGTCGGTCTCGATCCATCTGCAGCGTTGTCTGGTCCTGCTATGGCTACTTTTCGTCCCCGTCGCCTTTCTCTGGGCCTTCATCGAGCCCGTGCTGCTCGCGCTTGGGCAGGAGCCACGTCTGAGCTACGACGTACAGCGTTTCCTGCGCGTTCTCATTGTCGGCGCGCCGGGGTACATCGGGTTTGAGAGCGTCAAGAAATATCTGCAGTGCCAAGGTTAGTGACTCAGCTCGCCTGCTAGTGTGGTCGTAACTCATGTGGGGGATGATGTCAGGGATCATGCGGGCGTCAACATATGTCCTGCTGATGGTCGCCCCCGTCAACCTGGCGCTGAATGTCTTCTTTGTGCACTACACGCCTCTCGGACTGCTCGGATCAGCTACTGCCATCTCGATTACTTACTGGCTCTGCTTCTCCCTCCTCGTGCTCGTTGCCTATCACTCGCCCACTCACCGCAGCAACAAAACATGGGCCGGTGTCCATCTTGCTACCGTATTCGACCTCCGAAGCTGTATTGATTTCCTCAAGCTCGCTATCCCCGGTATTTTAATGGTGGGGACAGAATGGTTGGATTCCTCCCCTCATCTTGATGGATCTTCCCGATTCACGCGCACGCGAATCCTTACAGGGCCGCCTTCGAGATCGTGGCTTTGGCTGCCGGAAGACTAGGACCCTTACCGCTTGCCGCGCAGTCCGTCATTATGACCACTGATCAAAGTTCGGTGACGTTTCACGTGTACAATCGCGGCCATTCGGTGCTGATATCTTCCAGTCCTCAATACAATTCCCTTTGGTATTGGTGCGCATCCCTCATTGTGGCCGCTTACACGTCACATTATTGACTCGCTTCCAGGCGTCGCTGCATCCACTCGTGTGGGCAATTTAATTGGCGCGCGTAAAGCCGCGGCCGCAAGGCAGGCCAGCCATGCGTCCGCCTTCCTAAGCGTGATAGTGGGGTCCATCGTCATGACCGTCATGCTCGTCACCAAGGATGTAAGCCAATTTGTAATTGACTCCCTCCCGCTAAAGTTCATGCGCACATAGGTCTTCGGTTATCTCTTTAGCGACGACAGATCAGTCGTCGACCTCGTAAGCAAAGTCATGCCGTTTGTGGCTTCCTTCCAGGTGGTGTAATCTCCCATCCCTCAATTTTCGGAAGTTCGCTAACTAGCCTTTGCGTAGATCGCGGACGCGGTTGCTGGCTCTTGCGGCGGCGTTCTCCGTGGCCAAGGTGGGTCCCGCCGCCCGTCCTAGCATCTTGTAACTGAATCATATCGTAGGGCGTCAACACCTTGGCGCCATCTTCAACCTCGTAGCGTACTACGTGCTTGCACTGCCACTAGGAATTACGGTTGCTTTCCACCCTCGTACACATCTCGGCCTGCAAGGCTTGTGGCTAGGTATGTCATTCCAGACCTGTACTAGTCACACTACTGATAAGAATGAACGCTGCATAGGACAAGTTGTGGCATTATTTATTGTCAGTCTGGGAGAATATAGTGTAGTATGGCTAGGTACCGACTGGGACATGGAAGTCCAGCGAGGTATCGAGCGTAATCAAGAAGAAGCCAAACGGCGACGGATTCACGAAGGCCTGCAGTAACGTAGGACGATGGATTCGCGAAACTTGTATCATACACGTAGATAGTGGTATGTACGACTTTTGTTACTTTACGGTGTAGTATTGATCAAACATACATGGATGGGAATACCAGTACGTATGGAGAGGTTCCTGAATACTTATATTTCCTGTCTGAGGGCACCACTTATTACTCTTCGCCGTTTTCCGACACTCAGGTACCGAAATCCAATCGGTTCAATACGAAAGTGGTTGGGGACATTTTTGGGTCGGAAGGACATTAAACCGATGTGTCGCAAACCAGCCCCTAGTAGGATTTATTTTCTCTGATTGGGTGGAAGTGGGTTCCAACAACGTTGAGCGCCTGAAGGGGTCCAGGCCTAGATCGAACCTGATGTAATCCGCGTCCCCTTCGGGCCTTCGTTGAGACTCAGTAGCCACCAATGGTCACTACTTCACCAGCCTGAGGCAAGTAAGCGTATGACTCTCACTTGTTTGTCTTCTCATTCAATAATCCCAGGTGGTAAAACAAAATACTCAATATGCGATATCTCTTATAGGCTAGTCGGGCCATCCGAGACTAGGCTCGATCGAAAGTTCGATGCCCGGATGCCAAAAGTATCTATGTCACTAGCACTGAGCAGAGACTGGTCCATTTTTGGTCGACCAGCTCTCGAGAGTATCTCCGAAGCGAAAATAAATTCAAAAGCTCAGCCCCTTGCAGCATGCACGGCGGTCAATTCAATGGCATCTGGATGCTGCGAGAACGGTCAAGAAAGTACCACATCCCGGTTCCATGGGGTCTGGACCACTTGCAAGCGCGTTGGAAGCGCCGTCACCCCAGGAGGACGGTATAATCTTCATATTCTTGTTTCGTTCTATTCATCTAGCCAAGCTTCAGACCCATGAGCACTGACACCACCCCAAACAGTAACGAGACGCGACCCTTGTTATCCGGGCGCGGTTATGTAGAAGACGGTGATTCTGTAAATGACACAGACACAGCTCGGACAGCTCCGTATTCTGCGCTAGGAGGCGCGCTTGGGGGGCAGCAAAACGAACTTCAGACGTTTGCCAGCCTCTTTTGGCTCCTTTTTGTCGATTCTCTTCCAGGTACCTCCCTCGATTGCAGTTGTGGCCAGCCTCGTGCTTACAAGCTGGCAGTGACGCTCTCGTACATCCTCCAGAACTCCATTCAAACGGTGTCCGTCCTCGTGGTGGGCAGACTCGGCCCACATGAGCTATCAGTGGCTGCGTCTTCTTTCATGATGGCTATGGTTGGTACGTATGATAGGTCCATATGTACTCTGTAAGTTATGCGCAACTAACCCGTTATGCAAATAGGATGGTGCGTTGCGCTTGGCGGTACGACTGCCCTGGACACTCTAGGATCGCAGGCCTTCACGGGAGGGGATCGGTCTACGGTCTCTATCCACTTCCAACGTTGCTTGATTTTGTTGTGGATGCTTTTCATTCCGGTCGCCTGTCTCTGGTCGTTCATGTCCCCCGTGCTATGCGTTCTCGGACAAGAGAAGAAACTAAGCGATGATGTCCAGCAATTTTTGACGGTGCTGATCATAGGAGGGCCGGGATATATCGGTTTTGAAAGTTTGAAAAAGTATCTCCAATGTCAAGGTCGGCTATTCATATTCGAATTCTGATGACTATCGCTCCTTACATATTGAATGCAGGTATAATGAGTGCACCAACCTATATCCTGATATTAGTTGCGCCCATCAACTTAGCCCTTAATGTGTATCTGGTGCATTTCACTTCCATGAGACTACTAGGCGCTCCCGCCGCCATTTCAATCACGTTCTGGCTCTGTTTCATCTTCCTCGGAATTTATACATACTTCTCTCCGACCCATCACCGAAATCAGACCTGGTCCCGCCTATATCTAGAGATAGTTTTTGATATTGGAAGCTGCGTACGCTTCCTCAAGCTCGCTATACCTGGGATTTTCATGGTCGGAACAGAATGGTGGGTCGGATCATTACGCATGCTCGTACACAATTAAATGAAAGACGCGTTAGGGCTGCGTTTGAGATTGTCGCCCTGGTGGCGGGACATCTGGGCTCACTACCCCTCGCTGCGCAATCCGTCATAATGACGGCAGACCAGAGTGCGTCCCTCGCATGTGCTCATAAGCTGCTTCACCAATCGTGTATCCGCACGCCTTAGTCCTGAACACGATCCCGTTCGGTATTGGTAAGGTGATATTTTAGCTTGAAGCTCGCACGTTCATATGAAACGTTGCTCGAACAGGTGTGGCTGCATCCACGCGCGTTGGTAATTTGATTGGTGCTAGAAATGCACGAGGAGCTAAGCAGGCTAGCCATGTTGCCGCGGCCTTAAGTGTTGTTGTAGGGCTGTTCATTATGGTCGTCTTGACGGCAACTAGGAATGTGCGTGTACCCCTTACATTCGAAATCGTGCCCATCGCACTAACATGATACTTTGATTAGGTCTTCGGATATCTAGTCAGTGACGACGAAGCTGTCGTGGCACTCGTGAGCAAGGTTATGCCGCTGGTTGCCTCGTTCCAGGTACTATCGCAATTCCGTGCCCATATCCATGACCTGCGCTCACAAGCTTCACTAGATTTGGGATGGTTTAGCGGGTTCATGCGGGGGTGTTCTCCGCGGCCAAGGTGGGTTTTGAACTTACGAGTGCGGGCTCATGTAGACTCGAGGAGATACATGAACAGGCCGCCAACATCTCGGTGCAATATTCAACCTCGTGGCGTACTACGTGCTCGCGCTGCCAATGGGCATGACTCTAGCCTTGTATCAACGGATAAATCTCGGGCTACAAGGCTTGTGGATCGGTACGCCATCGTTCGCCTCCTTCAATGTTGGCAACCCATTTCTAACGCCTCGTTTTCGAAATTCTTCATCCATACTGCAGGCCAGGTGGTAGCCCTTCTCATCGTAGGTCTTGGCGAGTACGCAGTCGTATGGTTAGGTACCGATTGGGAGAAGGAGGTCCAACTTGGCATACAACGTAATGCGGAAGAGGCGAAGCATCGCCGAGATCATGAGCAATCCCCGCCTGAATAGCGTGTTTGGGGCACCAACTAATTTGAGCCCTGCAGCCGGTGGTCGACCACGATGATCGCCTATTTTTAAATATAAAAGTCTATTAAGTGCATACCTAATGATCAGATAATAAATTGACATTGCACATGGGCGCACGATCGCATCGCAATAGCTCGATGACATCCTCGCAGCATGTGCAGCGTGGTTGCCTCGTGTTAACCAGCGGGCACCGATGCTTTGCGACGGGCGGATCGCTGCCTTGCACTAACGCTGGCGACCCTTGCAGTCTCAAACACTGACCACAAGGCTTGCTTAATTGAACTTGAGCGAGATCCTTGCCCCTAGCTTTCGAGAACGCAAGGTTTACGCGCGGTGCTGCCCATCGCAAAAGGACCCGCTCCGCACGCTGGCTCTACTATCGAACACTGTACGCTATAGCTCGTATGCCATATACGATGCTACATTGCGAAAAAGGGTGAAAGGTCGACCGCTCTAGCCGACGCCGTTGTGAACCTGGTTCGCAGGAAAACGTGTAGGTATCGTAAGCTTTACCATGGAAGTATTCAGTGACTGGAATTCCCAATTGACTTTAGGCAAGAGACGACCGGAAATGACATTGTCCCGGGCCCCACTTTGGCTCGGCGATGAGCCAATTAGTAGGGAGTTATAGTCGACCTGAGATGGACGTAGCAAACGTGTTATTGAGAAGGTGCGTACGCGCGCGCACATGTATGTAAGTACACGGGCCTGTTCTGCTCGGGTCTTTTTTGACGTTCTACGGGAATGTTGGGGAGCCAGTCGGAGCGCAGCGTATGGTCAATCAGAGCCATCGACTGGTCCCGAGGCGACGATATCATATGGCTCGTACAAGTCCGGCCTGCTTTAGTGTTCCAAAGACCAATCATATGCAGACTCCCTCCGTGACTTCTGGGATTCAATATAATCTTCACTCGGGCAAGGCTCTGTGTCCCTCACTGGTCATCTTCACAGACGTATACGTTATGCTCTGGGCTCTGTTATAGATGTCGCCAGCGGGCCCGAGCTTGCTCTGGGCCAGCCTGAGTGGATATTGTGTACATAGCACAGTCTCCTGCGATCTACTGCCGGCTCCCGCATAGAGTTTGGAGTAAATATCAGGTGAGAGCCATGAGCCGAGTAATAGTTGGCCGAGTGATAGATGGTTGAGCGGGGAGCCATGGACGGCAGCATGGATACATGGGGTGGTGGAACTCCTGGAATCATGGCTATGAGTCGTTGGTAAGTCGTGATACCGTTTTGGCTCCAGGGCTACACTGCTTGTGGGGTGACCTAAAATTATCATACGATCACGTAGTGGGCTTAAATTACACACGTCCGTCCATAGCTGCAATTATGTAACCAGGCTCGTCATAGTCTGAGTGCCATGGGAGGAGCCTCCGTCGTCGTCTCCCACACCGTATAATTGCATACGTCGAGCAGGAAGTGTTATGAACATGAAAGCCAGTCTTGATTGTTTTTATGCACTAGGAGCAAGACACTACAGAATGACATTATACTACAAAAAGTCCGTAGAGTACCTGAAAGACTGAAGGGATTGTGATGCGACGATATTGATCATGAGCAAGGACACGAATCCATGTCAGTGAATCGAGACGACTATTGCGTAGCCCATTACGAACGTCCATATAACCCGGCGTAAGCAGTCCGTGTGAAGTCCGTATGAAGTCCGTAGATACTCGTTTTCAAGCAACGTTGATGGTTTGGTTGGTGACTTGCGTATAGGGGTAAGGGCCCGCCTATGCAAAATGTGATCAACAACCCAGAGAAGAGATTACCAACAAGGAATGCTTACACCAACGAGTGCAAGCTGAGTTACGCCCAACGCCGCCTGGCCCGAGGGGAAACCACTCGGGACCTGAACGGTGAAATTTTGGAAGGGGTACCATTCGCCCGAACGATATTCAGGATCGTACAAGCCGGTGTAAAGAATGTCACCGAGTGCTTGAGAAATATCGACGACGGCGCAGCCACCAGGATATGACGCGCATGACTTGAGGGAGATTGCAATGCCAACCTCAGTCGAGCCAGTGAGAGAGTCCTTCGAGGAAGGAAGCTTCAGCAACACACGCTGTGGATGGACAAGACGAAGAAAACATACAGGTTTGATCACCTGGACAGTGATATTACTCCCCGCGCTCACGGTGTCATTGGTGGCTGGGATGGCGATGGCGATTTGCTGCGCAACAGCGGAGGCGGCGACACAGCCAAGGACGAGGAGGGACTTGAAGGAAGAGAACATGGCTGGTGAGGATTAAGGCAGAAGGAGATAGGATTGGATGCGCCTGAGGGTTGTAACGAAGGCCACTGGAGAGAGGGCGCAAGCGAGCTCCATATTTATATTGGGAGAGGCAACAGCCACTGCGGCAAAGCGATCAATCGAGCTGACGGTCAACTGCCACTTACGTAGCACGGGGCCGTTCGGAAATCACATCAGGGTGAGGGCGGCCACCGCTCGCCGCCTCCTCCAAATTTCGCCAGCCTTCTGCACGCCTCTCTTCTGGCCTCGGCCGAATATCCTCCACAGCCATGCGCCTTCCCGCTTCATTTGCGAATTTTCTTCCTGCGCGAGGTTCATGCACGGAAGTGAAAGAGCGTAAGGCTGTGCGTTCAGTGGCTGGTCATTGACTGTTGTTCGTTGTCGTCCATCTCGGCCGCGCAGAGTCCCATGATCGGGCCTGCGCCTATCCCGCGCGCGGCCCTGCAGGGCCCCGCCCTCGCCGCGGCGCATGCACGTGACCAGGCCCGGACGCGGCCACGGCCCACGGCTGAGTACTGTCCCCGCAAGGTTGTTCCCCCCGACGCCTCCCTCTCATCCCTGGAGGATTCTGGAGTCTGGACGGTCCAGCTGACTGCACGATGCCTGAATTTCTTAGGATCTGCGCTATGTCAGTCCTTCTCGGTGCTGCATCCTTTGCTGTTGGAATGCTCCCGCTCTTCTTCACATTCTCCAGTGAGCATTACTTTGAAACACGCGTTTGCGGTCTTACCAAACTCCTCAGAGTCGGCCTTGGCAAGATTGTCGGTCTTCGGCACGGGTCTGCTGCTCGGCGCAGCACTGGGCATCATCATTCCCGAGTAAGTGGCATCGCCTCCGCGCACTGCTCAGTGCTCAACTCAACGAGCTGACGCTCCCGGCAGAGGTATCGAGACACTGGCTGCAGCCAGTCTGCCGTCCGAGTTGCCGACGTCTGCTGTGGCACTCTCCCTCCTAACAGGCTTCACGTTCATGCTCGTCGTCGAACAGCTGCACTCCACACACGCACACGACACACGTGTTTCCCAGCTTCCCTCCTCGCCGTCTCATGTGCCCAAGTCTTCTGCCGTCGAATTCGAAGTCGAGCTGGGGGAGCTAGAGTCCACCGAGGGTATTGAATCCCAGGCTGCTCGGACCACTGCGACTACTCAACCCCGAGACATCTCAGGCAAGACGCGCGCGTATCCCCTCACACTCGGGCTCGTCATGCATGCGCTCGCAGACGGGCTGGCGCTTGGTTCTTCTGCTCTATCCGACACTTCTTCGGGCTCTGTTGCATCGGATTCGGCCGCACCTTCCAACCTCTCTCTTGTCGTCTTTTTTGCTCTCGCAATCCATAAAGGTCTGCTATCATTCTCTTACCAAACGGCAACAAACGAGAGCTGATGACCGAGTCTCTGCCGCGGCATGCGTGCTGCCATCAACTTGTTCCTGGGGAAAATATTTCCTGTCATTGTAAACTGTGTCGATCTGCCATGATATCCAGCTCCGACCGCACTCGCGCTGACAACTTCCCTGCTTTCTACCTCTCTTTCGCGAAAAGAATGCAAGAAACACATCGCCGCCTTTAGCGTTGCCACACCCACTGGCACACTTGCATCATATGCATTTCTTTCTTACCTTGGAGGAAGCGGTGAAAGTCGGTGGGCAGCAGTTGCCCTTCTCTTCTCGGTGCGTTGTTTGTCATGCTCCGCGTGTCAAGAACGAGAAGCCGATTGGGGCGTCTGTGTTTTACCAGGGAGGCACGTTTCTCTACGTCGCCACGGTCCTACGCCCCGTGTCTGTGTACGGGCAGTCGGAAGACCTCGGGGACAAAACCCGAATCCTGCTCATCGTTCTTGGAATGTTCGTCCCGTATGCTGTTGGCGTCATCGTGGGCCACGAGCACGAATATGGGAGGCAGTAAGGAGCGGTATGAAACATTCGGCAACATCTGTGTGTATTGTATTTTTATTGCATTCGTTGAACTTCCTGTTCATCTGAATTGGTGACTGAATTGGTGGTTTCTGTACTGGAGCCAGCCCTCTGCCCACGACAGTTCCAGTGTGTTCCGGTGAGTTCGGTGTTATGATGGAACATCTTTCTTACGTCTGTTATACCTCATTCTCTTCGCGCCGTGTCATTTGCCAGCGGTGATTGCGTGTTTCGCGAAGATTATTAAGATCTTGAACCACTTGGTCCACGCTGACCCCTTCTCGCGCGTCGTCGGCGTTCATTTCCTTCCGCCGATGGTCAATTACGCTCGTGCATCATGTGCTAGAGAAGGATGCATATGAGAGAACCGATCTGGGTGTACATGCATTATATGAGTTACATCATGGTGTTCTGCCACCACGACCGCTCGGAGCAAGCAACCGCGAGAGTCCCTTTGGCTTCGGAGCTGCTTGACCCGTCATATCGCTATTGATATACAAAATAGGGTGTCTTCATCAACTGAATCAGCTGGCACCTTGCCACCGACAACGACAGCGAACGTTTGAGCTAACAATCATCTCCCGTCCTGTAGCTAATGGGCCTATCCATGTGTGCATGCTCGCTCTAAGCCTCCCCTATGTGCTTTCTCTTGTCTTCACCAGCAATTGCAGTATGTTCACTCGTCGCTGGCACTTTCTTGAGCGTTCGCAGGTGATCGTCGTCATGCTTGGCTTGTGAGAGTATCTGCTCAGGTGTTCTCGTCTAATTCTTATCATAATTTTGGTGCGATCAACTCGTCGTATGTCCATCTATCATGACAAGATGACCGTTGCGAGGCGACTAAGTGCATATATCAAAGGCCCAACTGTCCTCGTCCTGGAAGATGTCGACGTGATAGCCTGTGCCGCCACCTGGATCGGTACATGCATCACCATTGAGTGAGTGAATCATTCCCCGAAACTGTGTGAGCTTAATGACTAGCAGCCTCACTATCTACATCTCCTGCAAGCGGTGCTGTTGGGCCGCCCTTGTCATGCCCTCATCTGAGGAGCATCTCGAGCATTTGAAAAGAGACATGGCCAGAATCCTTCAGCGCATTGTCCAGTCATGAGGCGGTCGACTGCTGGACTGCACAGTGCAATCTACTCCCCGCCGCCCGCGCATCAGATAGAGGCAGCGATTGTCAGCTGGACGCCCTGCCGGCCCACCGGACGGCCTGCGCAATTCAAGTGCGGGTCAGCTGTGAGTCTCTTTATGGTCATTTTCGGAACGGAATCAATTGCGAATGACGTCGGACGTGTCCGCGGAGCAGGGCCAGTCCTCTCGCTGGTCGAGCACTGTAATCGCCTATCAACTACCAACACGGCTCGCATCTCGGCCTTCAACTTTGCGGTTCCAGGTCTAGCGTACAACACATCCCCAACCAGCATTGTCAAGTTGGCTTGCTCCAGAGCGTAGATGTATAACAATCCGGGCTAGGTACTATGCCTCAACCATTGGCCGAGGCAAGAACACGAGCCGAGGCTCCTATATCTCTTCCGTGAGTGGCTTTCCCGAACGTTGAAGTAGCAGCTGACCCGGGCCGCTCCAGAACGCTGTTCTCACAGGCAATGTCGTATATCTTGCCCATCCTGCGCTGCGTCTCAACACCCACTTGTGAACCCCCACAACAAGTACAATATGCCCAACCCGAATCGCGTCACCGAGAAGCTCTTTCAATCACCCTCCAAGTATATCCAGGGACCATCCGCGATCCATAACGCGCCGAAATACCTCTCGTCCTTCGGAGCCGCACCGCTGCTGCTTTCCGATGACCTTGTTTATAAGATTGGTGTGTTCCTTATTGTGCGTTGGTTTTACATACGCTCATAGTATTGTACGACAGCTGGCAAGGAGCTCACGACCGCGCTCGAAGTAGCAAACTTCAAGGTGACGCGAGGCATCTTTGGCGGCGAGGCATCGAAGGACGAGATTTCCCGTCTCGGTGCGCTCGGCAAGGAGAAGTCGGTCGACTTCATCATCGCGCTCGGCGGCGGCAAGACCATCGATAGCGCTAAGGCGATTGCAGACGACCTGGGGCTAAAGGTCGCCGTGCTGCCGACGACTGCATCGACCGACGCACCTTGCTCTGCCCTTTCTGTCCTTTACCGACCGAACGGTGAATTCGAGAACTACCGATTCTACTCGAACAATCCTTCCGTCGTCCTCGTCGACACGAGCGTCGTCGTCCAAGCTCCCGCACGCTTCCTCGCGTCAGGCATCGGCGATGCGCTTGCAACAAACCTCGAAGCCAAGGCCGCGCGGAATAGTCCGAACTTTGGCGGAGGACTTCCAACAGAGGTTGCTTCAGCGATTGGCGCAAAGTGCGAGGAGATCCTGTTCAAGTACGGTCGCCAGGCGGTAGAGGCGAACAAGGCAAAGGCGGTCACTCCAGCGTTTGAAGCGGTCGTGGAGGCGAATACTCTTCTCTCTGGCCTAGGCTTCGAGTCTGGTGGCCTCGCTGCGGCACATGCTGTGAGGATTTACCGCGTTTAGGCTAGTTAGATATCTCACCGATGCTTGCTTGTAGATTCACAATGGCCTAACCGCCATTGATAACCATACCCTGCATACTAAGATGCACGGGGAGAAAGGTTAAGATTCCCCTTTCAGAACCACTAACCTCGCTGATGCGTCTCGCAGTCGCCTTTGGTACAGTCTGTCAGCTCATCCTCGACGGTGCTCCCACATCCGAGATGGACCGCTACATCTCGTTGATGGTCTCCGTCGGGCTCCCTACAACGCTCGCCGATTTAGGCATCGAAAATGCCACCGATGAAGAGTTGAGACGGGTGGCAGCTCTCGCATGCGCGCCGAACGAGACGATCTGGAATATGGACAGGGTAATTACCGAAGAGATCGTGTTCAACGCAATTAGAGGAGCAGATGTTGCAGGGAAAGACTACAAGGTACGCAATGGTCTGTAGATCCGTTGTAATTAGTGGCATTCTTGGATTTGTAAGATACAGATGAGTCTTAGTCAACCTTTGTCCCATTTACTGTATTGGTACTCGCCCTTATCTTGGAATCTGCCTTTAATTGCACGATGTCATCTTGATCCCGCTGTCGCACTCAATAATTGACCCGTCAATTGTGCGATGTAGAGAGGGCTGTCGAAGACGTCCGAAAAGAATTACAAGAGATTGGAAGCAATGGCCCTACTGTCGGGAGTTGGGTAGTCGCAGCTGTTGAGAACCACCGTTCTTGGAAGTGGGAAGCCGGAGGGAATAAGCCTGAAGCTTTCAGTACAAATATAGGAAGCTGAGGAACGAGTCAATGGGGCAGTTTGAGTGATGTTGACGTTGATGCAGGCCAGTGTGAACACGAGCTGTGGTCCGACTGATAATAACTTCCGTTGATTGCATCTTTGGGGTTTCGTTCTGTCGACTTTATCCAGATCAAGCTCAAACTCTGCAGTTCCGCAAGGTCTTGGAATCTCATGGGCACTCCGAACTCCTTGTCGCCAGAAAAGCTGAAGTGCAGCATATCCACCAACTAGGCAGCAAGAACGAGAAGCGGTAAAGAGGGCTGTCAGGCGAAGATATGACACAAGTATATCCAGACTGAGGTTCTGTAGATTGATAGACTTCCTGTTGTCGTTGAGCAAGTCGCAGGCAGTATCTGGCGTCAAACGCTGATTATGCACTGCCAGAGAAAATATACTCACCAGCGTGGTCTCCTCCTGTGCTTACACCCTTAGTAGCTTTCCACGTCGCCTGGCCCATAATATGCATGTCCCATCGCTTCAAAAAACATTGATAATTCCTGTAGCATACAGGTGTGATCTCCATGTCGGTCCAGCAGAAGTACCAAACAAATACAGCATATGAAGGCAACTTTTCATGGGACAGCTCAAATTTGAGGAACATGGAGATCAGTATATATTCCGAATTTTTCAAGTCAATTAGTCATTATCGCTGTTGTCAGGAGGCAAGTCACGTTTGAGAGGATGCTCAAAATAGGTGATGATTCTAAGCTCATTGTCCCAAATGATGAGCTCAGAGCAAGCAAAATAACCCACGTCCAGTAAGAGCCGATGGAGATAGTCAGCGACCTGGGCATACACGGTGGCTAAAAGCACGTACGATGCCTTGAGATAGGTATTGTAGATTGCCCACTTCACGCTCCCCGTCTCTCGCTTCTCATCCTCCACCAGTTTTCTTTCCCTTACCATCCGGCTTAGCATCGTCCTCCGGGGTATCTCCATTGTCACCCGCATCAGCTTCGTTTTCAGCATCTTCTCCCTTCGCAGCGGCCTCAATTGCTTGCTCCTCTTTGTGAGCCTCAACCGACTCGTCGTGGGTGATGTCGT